TAAAAGCTATGCTTGTTACCAAGCTAGACTATAAATTAATAAATCCCCCGGGCTTAGTCCAGTGCTCCACCTGGTACAGCAATGATGATCACCAGCTGATAACCCTTCTATTAAGGTGCCCAAGATACCTGCCCATCCAACTTTATAAATATCGATGATGTTAATATAGATCTATAAATACATAGGCAACTAGTTTTGAATGCCTGTTACAGCAGGGTGTGACTTGTAGTTTCCACTGTGGACCGTCGCAGTGTGGAGCTGGGGAAGGGCAGTGGAGGAAAGCTGATGTTTCTAGGTCATCACTGGGAGGAGGGTCCAGCCTCAGCAGCTTTCTCTCTAGGGGGATCACTGTGCTATGTCAGCCATCCTAGTGTCTAGCCCCTTTGGTGAGTGATCTGCATTTTAAAAATAAACTTTATTGACATATACACACATCACCCTGGCTTTGTAGGGGTGCTAAGGTCAAAACAGCATGTGGTCATCCCCTCCAGTGTCCTGCTCTGCCACCAGCACCGGGTCCTGGGTGAAGGGGTGTGAGGTGGGTAGAAACAAACCTGCTGCCTGTGGTCACGTAAGGGTCATCAGCTGACCTTTGTCCTTGCTCTGCTAGGTGGGCAGTGACTGTACGAAGCCCCGGGGGATATAGGAAATGAGAGCAATGCAGGACAGCGAAGCCTGAGAGCTGGAGGCCTGAACCACGCCGCCGTAAGCACGCCAATTCCACAGCCTGCAGAGAAGCTCCTTCGTGGGGAAGGCAGGGCTTGAGTTGGGTTAGACCATTCGAAGAGTGTGAACTGCTGGGCATGAGGATGCGCACCCAGAATGACCGAGGGTGGTTGAGTTGGATTAATCTGGGCAGTGGAGACGCATTCGCAAGAACACAGGGCTCACCTGGAGGTGATCAGCTTAGGAAAGTTGGCAAATTAGGACAAGCTTGGCCTCCAGCAACTCCGTCCAGCCTCCTCCTGGAGGATCAGCACAAAGTGGGTCCCACTGGCCACACAGAGGAAGCAACAGTTCCATCACTGGGTTCTGAACCACTTCTAACTCCAAACAAGAGGCACTGCCATCACCACCTTGCGGTGCCCAGGAAATGGAGCGGACGACCTGGAACCCAGCTGGGAAGCATCAGTGAGTGGGCGGGACAGCTGAGAGGAGGGGTGGGCGGTGTGGGGGCAGGAGGCTGGGCCTGTCCAGTAGCTTCCTCCAGGACACCAGCTCTCCACGTGCTCTGCTGTCTGGGCACCACAGGGGGAATGAAGACTGAGGGAGACCACAGGCACTGATGACTACAGAGGAGGCAAGATGCCTGCATGGGGCCCGCAGGACACGTTTGTGACCTGACTCCATCGCCTCCATCCCAGAACCACCGTGAGCCCCAGGCAAGAGCAGACACCGTTCCACCTGTGGCTGAGCCAGGTACCCGTCACCCCTGTCCCCCTCTGCATGTGCCCGGGCCACCCACTGCGGTGGGGAATGGACAGTAAAGTCCAAGGATGGATGAGCGCGTCCCCTGATGCCAGGTGAAGGGAGCTCCTCAGAAGGTCCCTGTGGATGGCGTGGGGACACAGCTGCCCTTCACAGGTGGACCACCTGACACACACCCTCGTGTGGGCTTCACCCCCGTTCCACTCCCTCGGCCAGACCTCGGCACTCTGTTGGCACTTCCCAAGTGTGTCACCCTCAGGCCACCGCATGCTGGGCTCTGCCGCTGGGGGAGTCCAGGCCAACAGTCCCTGACATGTGGAATCCACAGTTACCCTGACCCCAGGGTCACTGGAATTTTTTTTTTTTCTTTTGAGACAGAGTCTCACTCTGTCGCCCAGGCTGGAGTGCAATGGCGCAATCTTGGCTCACTGCAACCTCCGCCTCCCAGGTTCAAGCAATTCTCCTGCCTCAGCCTCCCGAGTAGCTGGGATTACAGGTGAGTGCCACCAAGCCCAGCTAGTTTTTGTATTTTTAGTAGAGATGGGGTTTCACCACATTGGCCAGGTTGGTCTCGAACTCCTGACTTCAGATGATCCTCCCACCTCGGCCTCTTAAAGTGCTGGGATTACAGGTGTGAGCCACCCACCTGGCCCCCTGGAAATACCTTCTATAGTTAATGATTTTAGCCCCAGGCCTAGAAAGGACGCTAAACGGCTTAAAATCATGTAAGAAGCACGTTAGGAAAGTCCTTTGCAAAGAACGAAGCAAGGACTAAGCGAGCGCAAGGCAATGTCCACCTCTTCTTTTACTTTTATTTTAAAATTTTCATTTATTTATTTTTAGACGGAGTCTTGCTCTGTTGCCCAGGCTGGAGTGCAGTGGTGTGACGGCACGATCTTGGCTCACTACAACCTCTGCCTCCTGGGTTCAAGTTATTCTCCTGTCTCAGCTTCCCAAGTAGCTGGGACTACAGGCATGCACCACCACTAACACTAATTTTTGTATTTTTAGTAGAGACGGGGTTTCACCATGTTGGCCAGGCTGGTCTCAAACTCCCAACCTCAAGTGATCCCTTGCCTCAGCCTCCCAAAGTGCTGGGATTTACAGGCGCGAGCCACCGCGCCCAGCCTGCCTCTTCTTTTACGTTAATTGGCGTGATGGTTGGTCACTTGCAGTGACCTGATGAAAGGGACGCTCAGAGAAGACCCTGGGACTTCTAAGACAGAACAGGACTCAGGAAAAACAACTCAGCGTGTAGTGTTCTGTGTGCACATTTATTTCTTCAAAGATTGTTTGTGTTCCAGCCACATCTTCTCCAAAGGAACCCACCCAAGCCCGTGCGCAGGCTTGGTGCAGGACTGTCTTCGGCATTTAAAGTGCTATTGAGGAATACAATCATTGTCACGTAAGTTCATCACCGCACTCCAGTGTCAGGCCAAACCTTTCCGCAGACCTGGAAAACCTGCCATTTTCTTCTCTTTTTACAATGCAGTTTGGACATAACAGTGGTAAACGACAAACCACAAGCCTCAATGATGAATGGTGCACTACTGCCCAGCTGCTGAGAGAACGGGGCAGTGTACTGTGTTTCCAATGCAAACAGTCATGGACCCAAGGTAACCTGAGTTTGCTCTGCAGGATTCCGCAGGGGCCTTGCCCTGTGCAGGCTGCTTTGGTCATCGTGTCTGGGCCGGTTTGGGGCAGTGGGGAGAGGGCCTGGCAGCAGGGTTGATGCCAGCCCCGAGGTCTGTTTTCCATCGGACAGAGATCCATGTCCTGACTTCCACCGTCCACCAATTTGTACTCTGAAGTTTCCAGATCAAGAGCCGTGAGATTATTACCCAGGAAACACCGGCCTTCGGTGGCCAGCAGTGTAGATTAATCTTTCCCTCTCTGCTCAAAGCAACTTTGCAACTCTCGTCTATAGAGGTGGCCAGTAAAACCCAAGCAAAAATCTAAATGGGCACCAAGGTGCCACTGAGTGGGCCTCGGTCATAACGGATCGGGGCTGGGTTTGAACCCAGACTTGGAACTTGATTAAAATAAACTGCTCTGTCAAAACTCTCACAGCAAGTTTTCAGCAGGAACAAGAAGATGGCTACTTTTGTTATTGCTACAATAACACACACCTGTGTGCAGACACACACACCCCACACACACACTGAAAGCTCCATTTCACTCCTCCACAAAGAACAGAGGCACCTCCTTAAACAAAGCAAACGGGGAAGGGTTGCAAGCTCACTAAAACCAACATGAGCACCCAGTTCCAGAGATACAGACACAGTTAATCTTAGTGTTCATGAGGAATCGCTTTTAAAACACCACTCAGCAAAACTTTCATCCAGACAAAAGCCAAAAACAAAAGCCCTCAAGCCGCAAAAGCTCGTAGAAGAGGTGAGACGATCAAGGTGATTTACGCGTCAGTATTTTTAGCATTTGGTGGATAATCTTAATTTATCTTTAACCTTCACAACATTTACTTGATCATAAATACCCTACACCATGAAAAAAAAAAACCTGTACAAAATAGCTTGGGAAAGAAACATTCACAGTATCAATACAGGCCATTTCTCACGGGACTACCCTGAAGCTAGCCTGTGTGTTTCCTTTGCCTTTGCTTCATAAACTCCCTCCCACATTGGTGTTTTCTGTAACTTCAGAAAAGGCCATTGGATGGAGACAACGTGAGTGTGTCTACAGGAAGCAGAGCCCTAGACCTAGGTATTCAACAGTAAGCAGTGCTCATGGGATTCATCTGGAAATGGAATAGTTAAAAACTTTTTTTTTTTTTTAAGAGCAAGAAGGCTTAATACAAAATTCTGGGGCCGGCATGGTGGTTCATGCCTATAATCCCAGAACTTTGGGAGGCCGAGGTGGGTGGATCACCTGAGGTCAGGAGTTCGAGACCAGCCTGACCAACGTGGTGAAACTCCATCTGTACTAAATACAAATAAATTAGCTGGGTGTGGTGGCTGGCGCCTGTAATCCCAGCTACTTGGGAGGCTGAGGCAGGAGAATCGCTTGAACCCAGAAGGCAGAGGTTGCAGTGAGCCGCCACTGCACTCCAGCCTGGGCAACAGAGGGAAACTCCGTCTCGAAAAAAACATTTTTTAAATAAAAAAATTCAAAAAAACTTCTGATCTCCTCGCACTTGAATAGAGTACACCTGAATTCCAAAATCAAATAAAAAAGAACAATTAAAAACTTCGCATCAGTGTCCGAAATTCTGACACATAATATCCTCTGGGAATTCTTATATGTCTCAGGCTCTTTTTACCACATGGCCAAGAGCAGTAAAACTTCAAGTAAAACATTCAAGTGAACATCTGTCCCATCTGTCCCAAAAGACTAGCAGTGATGCCTGACTTTGGGGACAGAAACTTGGTAGTATTCACATATTTTGAAACTCCAGGTGCTTTTTTTACAATGATTAAAACTGGAATATAATTTTTAAAAACAAAGCAGGTTGAAAAAGTCATTTTAAAGTCACTTGATAATTCCTGGAACACCTAAGAAATTTGTAATGCGCATTTTAAAGTGAAATTCCTAATGTCGTTTTCTAATCTCTCCCCCTAAAAAAGAAGAAAAAAATCCCATAATTTTGGTTTTTATACAGGTTTCCACTAAAAAAGAAAAAAATCCTAAAATTTTGGTTTTTATATAGGTTTTTACTCACCAGTGGCTCTATTACCCCCAAAATATTTCATGTTTAAGGATTAACAAAAGAACCTACGGAAGGAATCTCGCCCATTTCCATCTCCATGACAGAAGTCAAGCTTTCACAACGGCCTTTTACATCTCTTTGGAGAAAAGTGAATCATATTAAACTGTCAAAAACACTTCACCCCAATGATGACTGTTCTTTAACCAGCATGTCTACTGGAAGTGGCACATTCAGGGCAGACCAAAGTGAAATCTGTGAATGAACTGAAACAGAAAGGCAACTGATGAGGAAAGCGACTGGAATGATACTTAGGGATATTCAAATGGTGTGCCAGGTGATCACGTTTTCCACCAAAACAAACCCAAACAAGGGCACCCCAACCTGTGTCCAAGAGGACTGTTCACAGCAAAATTCTGAAGTGCTCATAGGGAGAATTTCCTGCAAGTTTGGCCCATTTGTTATTAAACTTCCATTCCTAAGACTGACACCTGAGACACAAAATAATTTCCTCCACTGCCCTAAAAGGACTTTGTTTTGGCTACTGGCAGCATTTGGCAAAATCCATGTATGTGTTTGGTAACCGTGTTGTACGAGCGGTCACGTATGGCTCCTGACTTCATCCGACATGCCTGCTGTGCTCTTGTTTAGCAAGTATGACAGGCGGGAGAAAAAAAAAACTTGGCTGTCAACTTCTCCACTAGTATTATTAGAGCTTTTAACACGATAGAGAAAAATGTAAAAACCATGTGAGAATATGTGTATCTTCCACTTGCAAGTAGGCTCAAAGTAAACTTAGAAAAGTGTTCTGCATACTATGCATAGGATACAGTTAGTGTTCAAGTTCTATGGCTAATATCAAAGGTAGATGACTTCCTACATCTGTCATAGCGTCTCCATTCCTACCAAAATTTATTTATCCACATCCTGTCTATGTTCCACTTCCCTGTACTCAGGGCCAGCTGCATTTTTTATTCCAAGCAGCAGATGAGGAGAGGTGACCCACCCTTTCCATTCACAGTGACAGCACAGGGGGGCACCTCCTTTTTGTGACATGGTCCAGGCATGGACCAAAAACACTTGTTAGTGTAGAATAGGTAAACTGAGTCCCTCACACCTGCCCTCCACAATCCATTAGAGTACATTATTTCACTTATAATGTTAATCTCCTTCTAATATTGAACCCTAACTCTTAGCTTTGAGCACAGCCCAAGCTCTGCGGCTGTCAAGTCTCATTTGGCATCTGGTGGCGAGTTGGGCTTTTTATCCTCTCTGGGGGAAACCTCCTGGCTGGAGACTCAGATTTTGTTTTCCCTTTAAAAGACTAGATGGTTGGAAGAAACCCAGCAAGACAAGCGGGGCATCTGGACATCCGGCGGGCACACTGGCTGCGTCCTGGTGAGGGTAGTTAACGCGGGTGCACGTCTTCTGGCTTGGAGGTGATGACCTCAGGCCCTATGTGCAGGGCTCCACGGGGGCACCGTTCATGGTGTTCTTGCTTCTGTGCCTGGAGAGCAGCTTCTTGTTCAGGATCCTGGTGAGGGTGACGCCTTTCCTCCGGGAACCCTCTGGCTGCTCCAGGAACACAAGGTCATTGTGTGACTGACTCATGCCCGGGTCTTTCTGTTGATGCCGCCGGCGGAAGAACAGCTTTGCCCCTTTCCTTAGAATTCCTCCTGGAAGAGGGAAGCACAGGGGCTGGTCAAGTGGGCGGGGAATGAGGGGCTGAATGACTGCTCCAATGGGATAAAGGGAAAAGGAGGCTCAAATGCCTCTAACAAAGGGCGGGTTTACTACTTCAATGTGCTGTCACTATCTGCATGAGAAAAAAACAACTGGAATCTGGCTTGTACAAAACGAGATTTTTCAAGATGAAATGGAAAGGAGATTATAACAGTAGAAGCAGTAAGCCTGGACTATCGGTTGGTATCCCTTTCCAAGGATGGTATTTATATTCCTGATTTTTTGGGGGGACGGAGTCTTGCTGTCTGTCACCCAGGCTGGAGTGCAATGGTGTGTGCGATCTTGGCTCACTGCAACCTCTACCTCCAGGTTCAAGCGATTCTCCTGCCTCAGCCTCCCAAATGGCTGGGATTACAGGTGCACGCCACCATGCCTAGCTAATTTTTTGTATTTCTAGTAGAGACGGTTTCACCGTGTTGGTCGGGCTGGTCTCGAACTCCTGACCTCAGGTGATTCACGACCCTCAGCCTCCCAAAGCGCTGGGAGCTGGGATTACGGGCATGAGTCATCACATCTGGCTTATATCCCTGATTTTCTATCAGACCAAATGGAGGCAGACAGCTGTTGCCTCGGTTGGGACACCAAGGACACCTGGGTCCCTTCTGTGCCACCAAGGACACCTGGGTCCCTTCTGTGCCACCCACTTCCCCTCATTAGGAAAGGTGTAGGTGGCAAAGAAGTACTGTGCCCCAGAAAGGATCATCACACTCATAAAACCCAATTAAGACCCTGAGAACAATGGTATTCACTTTCTTAGGAATGTTAAATAATAGTTGCTTTTTTGGGAATAAGATTTTATTAAAAAATAATTCCAGATCCTATCATATCTATTAGGCCATGCCATCTGAAGTTTGTCACTTGGGCATATTTGGCCTACAAAACCTCAATTTTGTGTCGTTTGATCTATCTGTTTACAGATAGATACAGATCTCTATATCTAGATATTTATCCGGATATAGATATCCATCAAGTAGTAGAATATGGAATAGAAAAAAATTAGCAGCAGCAGCAGCAACAATAATTTCAACAGCAATGATTCCTTAAAGATCAAGTATGAGCTAACGTAGTAGGTGCAAGAGCCCACTAATTTGCTTTTTCACAAATTAGTTTAACATCTTATTAACCAAGGCTGGCAAGGTTGAGGGAGTAAGCATTTCAGTCCAGCCTGTGAAATTCATTACCACTTGCATGTAGGTGGTAATGACTTTGAAAGAAGACAAGTCTGATCATCATGAAGAGGAGCTTTATTCTTAATGTGATAATTTATTCCCTTTGTGACAGGCATATCCAATAAACATCTCAATAGCCATGACATATGCAAATCGCCACCCATGTTGAGGAGGTTAAAGGAGGGGATGAAGAATATCAATTCCCTCTTCTAAATGAAATGCACACCAACAATTGTGGCATCTGAGGGCAGTCGGAGAAACCTGACCTAGACCTGCCTATGAATCTTTGTATAATCAAAGCCTGCTATGGGGAAAGAAGCATGTGCCCCTGAGCCTGACTTTAAGCACGAACTACTGTGTCCCATCTGCTCTGCCCAGGTTACATACAGGACAGAAACTGAGAAGATGAAGGGCCGCAATGGACTGAATTTAATTTGATCAAAGCGGCCATAATTTTTTAAAAACTTTACTCTCTCAATACAACCAAATCACTTCTTATGATGTATCATTTGGACATTTTTTTACAGTGATCTAAAGTTAGGAGCCTGTGTGCAGGGGTTTCAGGGACTGCTGGAAAAGGAATGAAAAAGGAGGGTAAATAGTATCAACGTGTAAATGGCATCCCTGTTGTCCGCAGGCCTAATGGTACACCTGTGGGACATCAGTGTCAGTTCCTGGAGTGATTCATGTCCCTGAAAAATGCAGCATGTCGTGAAAAACCAGCCATCAGTAGGGCGTGTTCTGACGGCTGGATAATGACCCCCAACTGGACATGGCTTTGGAGTTTGGCCAGTGGGGCAGATGCAGTGGTGCCGATGTGGCTAACTGCCTTTGTATCAGAGGGCACCTGCTGGAGAAATGCCCTGGGCATGGTGATAGGGGCTCCCAGGCAGAGGAACCCCCAGCTGTCAGGGGGCTCTGAGACCATCAGGTGACCTGAGGTTGGGGGATGAAGGGGACCCTCATGGTATTTCTGATCTGTAGGCACCTGCCTTGAAGCTCTGCTTTAGGCTGACCTTGGAGGCCCTGAAGGGCCTATGGACATGGGCTCTCAGGTGGAACGGGGGAGCGGAAAGGGTGGATCCAATAGCTTCACCTGGACTGCTCCAACATCACCCCCTTCACTTCCCAGGGGGAATGGAGGCCTAGGGGGAGGGAACACCAACCCATCCCGGGGGTCAACCACAGACCCACGGTCTCAGAACCCCCAGCAGTGAGAGGTTCCTTCCTGCTCCATCTCCAAAGTCCATTTCATAGGCATCCCTGCACTGAAGCTGGCCTGGGGTCTGGAGCCAGGCCTGAGGTGTGAGCAGGGACACTGTGATGGGCTGAACTTGGCTCCCCCACCCCCACCCAAATTCATATGTTACAGTCCTAACCCCCAGTACTTCAGAGAATGTGACCTTATTTGGAGACGGGGTCTTTGCAGAAGTCATCAATTTAAAATTAGATCATCGGGGTGGCCCGTGAGCCAATATGCCTGCTGTCCTTATCAAAAGGGGGAACTCAGAAACAGAGACACACACACAGGGGAAGATATTGTGAAGGGTCACAGGAAGGACGCCACATGAAGATGAAAGCGGGGCACAGGGCGATGCTTCTACAAGCCAAGGAGCGCCAAAGGTTGTCAGCAGCTGTCAGGAGCTGGAGAGGCGGGAGCAGGCTTTCCCACAGGGCCTCAGAAGGGGTGGCCCTGCTAGCACCAGCAGCTCAGACTTCCAGCCTCCAGAACACGGAGAGAATCAGTGCTCCTGGTGTTGAAAACACCCAGTTTGTGGTACTTTGATACAACTCTGGGAGGAGAGGGGGTACATTTGGCTTAAGGATCCAGGAACGCCCGCCATGTCTTCCTGTTCAGTCCTCAGAACTCAGGCAGACACGTGGAGGAGTGGGGGAGCGGAGAGGACAGTGGAGCAGTGTCCTCAGCCCCAAGCCCTCGAGTCAGCCGGGCTCTAAGGGCTACAGGCGTGCAGGCCCTTCCTGGAGAATCTGGCACGATGGGGTCTGGGGACACCGGGCATGAGCATTTTTCAAAAGATCCCAGGTCCTTCAAACATGCAGCTGGGGTTGCCCACTGCTAGCCCAGGTCTGGCCAAAATGCCACTAGTGCTTAGAGCACCTGGAGGCCACAGTGGACAATGCAGGGACAGGCCAGGGCCAAGGACACGGGCACCGTACCTGCTCTCCTGTGTGCCGCTGCTCATGCTCCTTCACGCTTCACTCTGGGGGTCTGCAGACCACAGGGCTGTGTGGGGAGAAGCTGATGCAGCCCACCTGCAGGGCCCCACGCCACGCCAGAGATGCATGGTGTGCCCAGGTTAAGAGGGAAGTGGGGTGTGCAGACAGGCAAGGCACGGCTGTGTTCAAAAGACCTCAGAACAGGAATAGGAGCCGGGCACGGTGGCTCAGCCCTGTAATCCCAGCACTTTGGGAGTCCGAGGTTTGGAGAATCCCCTGAGCCCAGGAAATTGGAGACTAGCCTAGGCGACATAACAAGACCCCATCTCTATTTAAAAAATAAAAATAAAAAAATTAAACTTTAAAAAAAACAAAAATAAAATGGGATATGCACATTTTCAAGCAGTTACTTTAAGTTATACAAGGGAAATCGAACTACAAGTGCCTAAACCTGGGAGGCTGAGGCAGGTGTTTTACTTGAGCACAAGAATTTGAGACTGCAATGAGCTATGATCTTGCCACTGCACTCCAGTCTGGGTGACAGAACAAGACCCTGTCTCTAAATAAAATAAAATAAAATAATAAAAATAAAAACTGCTTAAAATTCTAATTCTTGGCATATTAAGATGAAATAGCAAGGATTGCAGCCTGCATGTAAAAAGATGGTAGACAAGAAAGATTGGCACGGCGTGTTTGTTTTAACCTCACTACTGGCTCCAGTCCGTTGTCTGTCCGGACCCTGAGGGACTAACTTGTTTTGGTGGCAGATCCCCGCCCCAGGGAGCCCTACGCCTCTTCCATGGGCCACACCCCACCCCGAGGGGCTGGTAACAAGGTTATTTTCTGTTCTTCCATCTTCACTCACGCTCTCCAGAGCATGTCTGCTGTTTTGTTAAATTTCTTTTTCTTGAGACGGAGTCTCGCTCTGTTGCCCAGGCCGGAGTGCAGTGGCGTGATCTCAGCTCACTGCAACCTCCACCTCCCAAGCTCAAGTGACTCTTCTGCCTCAGCCTCCCGAGTAGCTGGGATTACAGGTGCGAGCCACCACGCCCGGCTAATTTTGTATTTTTACTAGAGACGGGGTTTCTCCATGTTGGCCAGGCTGGTCTCGAACTCCTGACCTCATGATCCACCCGCCTTGGCCTCCCAAAGTGCTGGGATTACAGGTGTGAGCCACCGCTCCTGGCCTGTTTTGTTGAATTTCATAGTTCAACATCAATGCCAGAAACCAGATTATGGTCGTATGTGCCCATGTGCAAATCTTCCTGAAATCATTTGTGTGACTTGCACTTTCCCCGTAACCTGATAATTTGTCACAGCTTCTAGGGGGATGGCATCAACTTCTCATACAGGGGATGGTCATGTGCGGGTGGGGACTGAGGTTTGCAGTTCTGTAGACGGGACCCTCAATGATATCCCTCAGCCGCCTCTGAGGAAGGAGGCCTGATCCCTACCATTTTTAGGGTTGCTTTTGGTCACTGTTTTCCTACCTATGGGATTTTAAAATAGATTCCTTAATTAGCTATTTATGTCTGCTAGACTCTGTAGGGACACATGAGGAAGCTAAGGTTTGGAGAGGTGGCTGTCTTGGGGTCGCACACTAACGGGGCGGGTGTGTAACACTGGGCTTTCTGGCTCTGAAGTTCATGTTCCCAGGCCCTCCTCTTCCGTGCTGCTAAGGACGGCGTCTGAGAAGTGGCCAGCCAGGTGTCTGGAAAAATGGGCAAGTCTGTGGCCCCTGGGGAGGAGACTCCGGAGAGTGTGGATACATCAAAGCCCTTGGGGTCTCACGGAGCAGAGCCCCCTAATCCAGCAAGGACTTGGGCGGGATTCCCAGAACGAGTTGCGAATCCAGAGAGGCATGCAGGGGGCGGGGGAGGAGAGGATTCCAGCCACGCAGACTCATCTCAGGCAGACTCATCGTCGGCCATGAAGGACCACCACACGACGGAGGCCATTCCATTCCCTTTCTCCATAGCAATGGGAAAGCCTGTCTTGACTTGGAAGCAGATTGTTCACTGTCACCTTTCGGGTAAACGATGCAGGGAGAACACGGCCCCGGATTTGCCAGTGCACACTAAATAGCCGCCCCACGGTGGTTGTGAGGGACAGGGCTGAGACTGGAGCACGCTCTTGTCTGTTGGGCAGTAACCCCGTATGGAATGTACCAGTCTGCCCACCTCGATAAGCAAGCCTGTGAGGTGTCGCTCTGTCAACCTGGCCGCAGCACCCAGAGATTCAACAGAACACGAACTGAGATGCGGCTGGGAAGGCATTGTGTAGATGTGGTTAACAACCCCAGCCAGTGGACTTGAAGGAAAGGAGATTATCCTGGAGAATGTGGATAGGCCTCGTCCAATCAGCTGAAGGCCCTAAGCGCAAACACTGGTTTTCCAGGGAGGAAGAAATTCTGCCTCAAGACTAAAGCATCAGCTCTTGTCGGGGTCTGTGGCCTGCCGCCTGCCCTGCAGATTTCAGACCTGTCCATCTCATGAGTCAGTTCCTTAAATATGTAACCTATGGGTTCTGCTGCTCTGGTGGACCCTGACTGATCCAGGAACTGATGGTCTGGATAATCAGACCATCTGGATGATCTGGACCAAGCACATCATCTGCTTGACTTTGAGCCCTGCAGAAACTGTTGCCCTTTGCTGATAGCGAAGTTCATGCCACGGGCAAGAATAGCCGGCGCCATGTTGATTTCAGGAAGCCTGACTACTTGACTCCAGGCTACCTTCTCTACGCCAACAGCAAGAAGCAAGATTTAGACCTCACCCACAAGCTTCAAGATTCCTGAAGATAATCTGGGGAGTGGTTATGTGAAATTTGAGGCAAGTAACCAAGATTTTAAATGGGAGACAGGCAGAAGAAAAAAAGTCCTTCCCCGGTTCTAACAAAGTTTAAAAAACAAATCACAAGAAGGCTGAAGTATAAACAGATACATGAAAGAATTTAAACATCATCTAAATTATAGCTCTAATGTCATAAATATTTCCAAATTTATTCCTATTTGTCTCTTACAGAGTCTAACAGATATAGTTAATTGAAGGATCTGTCTTAAAACCCAGCAGATGGGAAAAACAATGACCAGAAGAAAAAAAAAATTGTCTTTGGCTTCCCAAGAACAGCATCAGATTTCAACTGGAACCACAGATGGTCCATGGATAGAAGTGCCTCTACTTTTTAGCTCTGGAGGACGAAAAAGGGAATCAGTCTCTTCCTGTGGGTGTCACAGAGAGGTCGCCCGGTCACATCAGGTACCAGAGCGAGCGCCCTCACCCGATAGGCGCTGTACAACCTCAGCCAGAGCAGTTTCAGGAGGAACACGGGGAACTAGCAACCTAGGAGGGGAAAGGCGGAGACGGGAGGGAACACGAGGCAGGCAGGTCGGCTGACTGCTGAGCTACAGGCTGTACTCCTAGGATGGCTACATGTAATTGAAAAAAATAAGACAAAAATAACTTACTGTGCAGGCAATTAATTCTGGTTGGCATAGTGATCCTCTTAAGTTAAAGGGAATGAGCATGAGATGAAGAGAAGTAAGAGGCAGAAAGAATTATGCAAGAACAACATCAGAGTGGACGTGGGTAAGGGTTCTGAGCCATCTACAGACACCACACGCACACGGGACGCCGCTGTGCAGGATATTTGGCAAGGTTTCTTACTGTTCAAGTGTTTTTCCCAAAACCTCCCTTGAAACTTTTGTTCTTACTTGTGGTAACACACCCATAATATACCCTCTTAACCATTTCTACCTACACAGTTCAGTGGTGCTGACTCTATCCACAACGGTGGCCAACTTCATTGATCTTTTTTTAAACTAAAAGTAAACCAAAATTTGGGGAATACATTTCCTGTGTGGGCTGGTTTCCAACCAGCAGAACCTCAGGAGGGTTCTAAATACACAGGCACTCTCAGAAACCTAATACAAACTCCTTAGCAGGACAGAAGATACAGGTAGTTCTTAAACCAAAAAGAACAAAAACAAAAAAAACAAGCTTTAGTTTTTAAAAACGACACCCTCTATCACCAGTTTTGAAAAATGTTTGGTCAAAAAATGAAAATGACTTGGCACCCATAACACAGAATCGTCTCAGATTGTGACAACATCTCACAGAGATGCTAATTACAAGTCTCTTTAAAAACACTGGAAGGAAACATTTAAAACTGCTGCCAAATATGTCCTGTTCAAAACCCTGGGGTCAATGCGGTAGGGCCACAGGAGTGAAACGCATGGCACGGCCGAGCCTCTCTGTTGCATTCCCAACTGCTGAGCCTCCGGGGAGTTTTGAGCCTGTGCTGTAGGTGGCCAGCACCAGCCCCCAGCACACCTGCCCGACACCCAGTCCCCAAAGGGTGGCCCCCTCATCCACCTGGCCCGTGAAGGGAGAGGAGCAGGGTGGGTGACACAGCAAGGATGGAAACCCAGGGAAAGACTCTCCAGAAGGGAAACCAGACAGAGAGAAGCAGGAGGGACCGGGTGAAGGAACACAGATCTTTGCATGAACAGGGTGAGCGAGGCTTGGCATTTTAGAACGAATGAGGAGGGTGGACGGGGCGGGGGGGTTCTGCCAGGACAAGAGGAAACAGGTCGAGTCAGGGAAGGGAGAGGAAGAACTACCCCACCATGCGCCCATGTTTGTCCCGCCTCACCCAGCACTCACCGTCTCCAAGACAAAGAATAGGCCACAGGTGTGTGTCAGGTGACCAGGTCACCTTTGACGTAACCCAAGCCAAGGCCTCTTAACAGGAGCACAGGAGCGTAGAGGTCAGTGTGGAGCTTACAGCCCTCAAGAGCTCTGTGGAGGGGGGTCCGCGCATAAAGCGCCCCAAGGCCAGGCAGTGGGCAAACAGATCCAAGGGGTCTGAAATCTTATCCAGGAATTTCCTCCTTCTCCCTTTCCTCTTCTAACTTTCCATTTCCCCCCAGCACCTATCCCGACTCTGCACTGGTAAGGACGGGGGCATAGGAGAGGGTGGCCACCATGCCATCACTGAGGGACACGAAGCAAAACAGGGAGAGAGGGGATGAGGACAGACTCAAGGACAGTCCAGCCCACGACAGGCTGTCAGCTTTGGCACCAGGGACATTTGGGACCAGAGTGTGCTGCACTGTGAGGCTGCCTTGTGGGGGCGTGTCCAGTGCACGGCAGGGCGTTGTATGGCATCCCTGGCCTCTATTCACTAGATGCCGGTTGCACCCCAGACTCCCAGCTGTGACAACAAAAGTGTCTCCAGACACTGCCATATTCCCTGGGGGAAAAAGTGCTGGGCTTGAGAATCACTGGTCTATGGCATCAAGAACAGAGGACAAGAGGTAGCGACGGCAGCGCTTAACAAAGCTCCCCCAAGGAGCCCCTGCGATTTCCCAACACAGACAGTCTTAGGACATCCTGAGATTTCTGCTGAAAGCCTTGGAGCCCCACACAAGAGCCAGAGCCAGGAGTTAATGCTGAGTTTCAGCTGAGCTCACAGCTTGGCCTGCCTTGCCCCAGTCCTGTCTTCTGCACCGAGATGTCCTTTTGTCCCCCAAATGGTGGAGTCAGGTGGGCACAGGCAGCGGCCACGCTCCTCATCTTATGGAGGAGGATGCTGAGGCTCGGTGAGTCTCATATCTGGAACCGACTCCAAGCCCCTAGACTACATGCCCTTAGCAAATACATTCAGGTTACTCATGCCAAGGCACTGTTTCGGCAAATCTGCACACGCTTAAGGAATTTATAGTTTTAAGGCACTGAAACTCAGGGCTAATGGAAACAATCAGTACTAATGAAATGATCACCTCCTCACCACCCACATATTAAGTTAATCAATTCATTATTCCCAGGAGCTCCTCTCCCCGTAGAGCCTCCTAGGGTCATGTGGTGAGGTCTGGTTTTGTTGGAGGTGCACGGAGACTCTGAGAGGCATAAAGGAGCAAAGATGCCCATATTGGCAGTGGAAGGAGCCCCAGGCTCTGCCTGGCTTTGCTCTGAGTCTCTGTGGCCCATCGTCTTGTAGGGCTCTTGGTAACCCCTCGGGAAGCCAGGTGGAGCAAGCCTGGACTGAGGAAGGGGCCTCTATGCATGGACACACGCTGGCCCCAAATGCAGAGATGACGCCAACCCTCACACAGAAGGACCTGCAGATGCCCCCCATGGGTTCAAACAGTCAGCACAGGGCATTTCTGAAGGGGCAGGGGGTGAGGTCCAGAGGGAGCTTGTAGGGGACAAAGGGAACGAAAGCAGACGACTTCAGCTTGGAAGCCAGCATGAGCACAAAGCCTCCAAGTGGGGGGTCTGGGGTTGGGGGCTCGGGAGCAGTTACCTTTATGCTTTTTGGCAGCGCCCGGCTCCGAGACACTCACGGAGCTCTCTGACAGCTCATCACCGTCGGGGTCCAGCAGGGCCTGGCTGCTCCATGCCACAGCCTGGGGCTCCTTCTCCAAGTCCCAGGAGTCTAGCTCATCCTCCTGGGGCTTGGGGGCAAGGGATGCCTGGGCTGACTCAGCTTCCTCCGGTAGCGCAGAGGCTGCGGCCACCTCCGGATGGGATGGGGCATCCTCCTGGTGGGTGCTGTCCACAGAGGCCATGTAGCCCTGCATCAGGGCAGCATCGTGGTCCTGAGATAGTGAGGTCTGTCAGGGGCGGTGGGGAAGATGACAAGGGTTACGTGAAAGGAAGAGAGGGTTCGAAAAGACCTGAAAAGCACTCTCCAAAACATTCTAACAGTTGATTTCAGTCTCAGAAGATGCAGTAGCGGGCCTCGGAGAAGGTGCTCATACATCACGGCTGTTGCTCATGCTTGCGCTAAAAAAGGTCTCCCTTACAGCTGGGGCTCAGGGTCCCTAGGCAGCTTGGGGGGTGGCCCCCGGGGCTCAGAGGTTAACCCCCTTCCTCCCGCAGATGGGCCTAGCGGTGGGAGCATTTGTGACAAGCCGCAGCAATGAGATGCAAGAGAGCCCGTCCTTCAGAGTCCACGACAGCACAAAGGAAGTGGCCGTGGGTGTTTCGGGTTTAGTTGTCTTTGTTCCTCCACACGTTTGTTACCTGCAAGCAGAAAGTCACTGGCGCAGCCTCTCAAAGATTATATTTTGTGTAAAAATATTTAAGCACTAAATTAACCTCTGAGAGTCGGGATAGCGCTTCCTTGGAGGGGGGAAGTTTGGGAAGGAGGGCACCGGGGCTCCCTGAGGGCCAGTCATGCTGTCCTTGGTGTGGGTGGCAGTGACATAGGCGTTTGCTTAGGGATAATGTGCAGTTCTGACTTAAGTGCTGGCCTGTGGAAGCGCCCACTGACTCAAGATTAGATAATTTCCCCATCTCTACTAAAATAAATACAAAAAATTAGCCGGGCGTGGTGGTGGTCACCTGTAGTCCCAGCTACTCGGGAGGCTGGGGCAGGAGAATGGAGTGAACCTGGGAGGTGGAGCTTGCAGTTAGCTGAGATTGCGCCACTGCACTCCAGCCTGGGCGACAGAGTGAGACTGTCTCAAATAATAATGATAATAATAATAATAAAAAGATTAGATAATCTGAGCACCAATACAAATAATCACTGCAGTGGATTCAGAACATTAAATACTAAGATCCAGGAGTTCCTCATGATTTTTAAATACGATCTTGGAAAAAGTATATAGGAGATGCCCATGGGTCTTGTCCTTATTTTGCTCATTCATTCACCCAAGACCGAAGAAAACCCAACTACCGGGCCCCGGACTTCCAGGGAGGTCATGGATCCCCTGCTGAGGGGCTCTAGAGGGGTCAGGAAGCCCCGGAAACACCACCTGCCTGCCTCTGCGACGTGGGCAAGGCCACCCTCTGGGTACAATGGCAAGGCTGATGACTCATCCCTGGCACCTCCGAGGTCCTGTTCTGGCCCGTCTTCCAGTCACTGAGGAATCCATGTTCTGCGTGCCCTCTGGCCCACCCTCCCACTCTTTCGCCCACAATTCTTCCTCATCCCCTTCCCACACCAAATCAAAATCTCCCAACTCTCCCTCAACCTGTTCACTTGGAAATGTCAAAAAAGAGTAAGGGCCGGGAGCAGTGGCTCACACCCGTAATCTCAACACTTTGGAAGGCCAAGGTGGATGGATCACTTGAGCCCAGGAGTTCAAGACTAGCCTGAGTAATGTGGTGAAACCCCATCTCTACCAAAAATACAAAAATTAGCCAGTCTCATAACGAATTAGCTGGTCTCAAAATAAATAAATAGATAGATAAAAATTTAAAAATCAAATTTAAAAATGTAATAAAGAGAGTAAGGATCTGTAACATGGCCCTTCACCGGAGGGGCTGGCCTCTCCACAGCCTGAACCACACACCTGCCACCACCTGCTCTGAGCAGACGTCCCAGAGCGGGAGAAGGGGAAGAAAGGGAGTGCAATGTCCATGGGGGACACTACAATCTTCATTTCTCTCTGATTACAAAGGAATAAACATTCACTGCAAAAAAGCAAAAGGCTTTGGAAACGTGTCACATGGAAAGTGTAAGATCCCCGTGACTGGGTGGTGACGAGAGTAGAGGTTCTGTACCAAAGGGGAGTCTTACGTCATGTTCCTCTCTTTCAATAATTTTTCTTGAAATGATTTGCCAACCTCTCAACGTGTCAAGCGTCACTGATTAGAAACTCTCCCATGTCCTTAGTGAATGGGATAAACTGCGTAAACACAATACCACGCATGACTTCTTTGTGGGGTGAGGAACGTAATTTGACATTTGTAAATGGAACTCTCTGGATGTTAACCAAGCACTTGGGCTAACTTCTTCAAAGGGCAGAGGAGCAGCAGGTCACTGACAGATGCAAACACCTCCCCAGCCACCACGATGGTACCTTGGAGATCCCTGATATGATAATAGTGCTTTTCTTCCGTGGCGACTTGAGTTTCAGCTTTGAAGATTCACTGAGTTGTCGAATGGCAACTTCAGCCACTGGATCCGAACCATTCAACACCAACAATTCTGCCAGAGGGAAGGCAGTGGTAAGTTCATCAGCAAAAATTAAAGACTTCCATGGGAACTTCCATGGATAATGGAAATGGTCGATAAGCAATGGTTAGCAGATATTTTCTAAAAAGGGCCAAAGAGTACATTGTTTAGGCTATGTAGGTGGTCTCTGCAACAACTTCTCAACGCAGCTTTTGTAGAGTGAAACTAGCTAGAGACCACAGGTAAATAAATGAGCATGGCTGGGTTTCAGTAAAACTTTATTTACAAAAACAAGTGACGGGCCAGATTTTTCCTGTGGGTCATAGTTTGATGTTTGCTGACTCTTAGTCTACAACTTGATTCCCTGGGTGGTTAGAAGATACTCACTGAAGTGTCTGCTTAACATTCACCTATTTTATTTATTTAAGTTATACCTGAATAGAGTTGATGGAAAATGGCAAAAGCAAGCAAGCAACAAAAAAAATATCTAACCCTTTGGAAGATTTTGAACTTTGAAAGGCAAGGTAGTGACTGCTTTTCCCTCCCAAGAGTGGCTAAACACACAGAATAGTACCTAGAGCTATGAAGGGCCAGTTAATAAAAGCACTTCCTTCCCTAGGTGTATAACCACACACCAGCCAACATCAATAGAATGCTTACGGCGAACCAGGTGCTGTTCAGAGAGCTCTGTGCACATTCTCTCATTTACTCCTATTCCACACCCCATGAGCAGGTCCTTCCTTTCATCCCATTTGACCACTGAGGAGGATGTCCAGCAGCCAGGAGGCCCCAGAGCTGACATGAGTGTCTGACTCAGAACTGATGCTTGTACCTTACACTTTCCCGCTCAGGTAAAGTCAAAATGCCAAAGCTACTAAAGTAGCAGCATAGTAAAAGGAACTTCTGTCTCAGTTTTGGCCATGGCCTGAGGCTTACAGATGCCGCATTTCCAAAGGGAGTCAAGAGAAGACCACAGTGGCCAAGAACCGGTGACAACAATGACACTGGGGAATAACAGATACTTGGTCTTCCTCGCTGGTTCCTGGCACAGAGAACAATAACAACAACAACAAAAAACCCTTTGAATTCCAGAGCCACTGAGCTGAGGCATCTTTCTTATTCCTCACAAGCCCCTGCAGCCCACCTGAGTGAATGCTAATGAGGGTGGACATTGGATGTCGGAGGCACCAACCCTGTGGTTAGAAGGTTGGAACTTTCTGCCCTCCTCTCGCCTGTGGGGAAGGGAAAGGGGCTAGAGATTGAGTTCAAATTACCAATGGCCAATAAGTGAATCAATCATGCCTACATATCTACTTATAGAAGCACCATAAAGCCCTAAATGACAGGGCTCAGGGAGGGTCCAGGTTGTGAACCAATGCATGCACGTACTGGGAGAGGGGCGACTCCACGGAGATCAAAGCTCCTACGCTCAGGACCCTTCCAGACTGTGCCCTGCGCCCCTCTTCATCTGGCTGTGCATTTGTGTGATAATAAACTGGTAAACCCAAGTAAAGTGTTTCCCTGAGTTCTGTGAGCCATCATAGCAAATTATGGAACCCGAGGAGGGTGTCATGGAAACCCCAATTTGTAGCCAAGTGGGACAAAAGTGTGGTAACCTGAGGACCCACTATTTGCGCCTGGCGTCTAAGGTGGGAAGGTGGTTTTGTGGGGCTGGGCCTTTTACCTGTGGGATCTGAGCTAACTCCAGGCAGTGCCAGAATTGAATTAAATTGTAGGACACCCAGTTGGTGTCTGCAGAGAAACAGAAAATTGCTTGCCATAGAAAATCTACACATTTGGCGTCAGGAGTGTTGTGAGTAGAGGAACAGATTTTTGTTTAGCCACTGAGCTACACTGAGAAGAGAGAAGTGTTGGAGAAAGGAGTTGGGGAAGACTCCTTAGGAGAAAGCTATGCTGTAATTCCCAAAGCCACCAAGGGAGAGGCATTGGGAGCACATTCTCCTCACACCAGGCCCAGTGCTTCTGTTCAGTCCCTTGAGAGCCCGGTCCAGGTGCTAGGTGCAGCCTGGACACCTGCTATAGTGCCTGGCTGCACCGTGGTGGGTGAGCCTGGGGCTGGCTCCATGGCCCATGCACCAGAAACCACAGTGGGAACATCAGTCTGGGTCTTTTAAGAGGGATCCTGCCCAGGTGACGGGACCCCGCAGTATGGGCAGTGGGGGCACTGCCAGGGGAAGAAACTGAGGAAGGGGTATCAGGGGCAGCGGCAAAAGTGTCGGAGCGGCTCCATCTCAAATAAGGGCTGGGCAAAATGAGGCTGGGACCCCCTGGGCTGGACTCCCAGGAGGTGAGGTGTCCTTACTCACAGGGTGAGCTAGGAGGTCGGCACAAGGCACAGGTCACAAGGACCCTGCTGATAAAACAGGATGCGGTAAAGAAGCCGGCCAAAACCTGCCAAAACCAAGATAGCAGTGAAAGTGACCTCTGACTGTCCTCACTGCTGGTGATACACTAATGATGATGCAATAGCATGCTAAAAGACACTCCCACCAGCACCATGACAGTTTGCAAATGCCATGGCAATGGCAAGAAGTTACCCTATATGATCTGAAAAGGGGAGGAACGCTCAGTTCTGAGAAATCCTCACCCCTTTGGTAGAAAACTCGTGAATAAGCCAACCCTTGTTTAGCATATGCTCAAGAAATAAACAGAAAAAGAGCCAACCAGCAGCCCTTACGGGTTCTCTGCCTACAGAGTAGCCATTCTTTTATTCCTTTACTTTCTTAATAACTTGCTTTCACTTTACTCTGTGGACTCGCCCCGAATTCTTTCTTGCACCAGATCCAAGAACCCTCTCTTGGAGTCTAGATCAATACCTTTTTTTGGAAACGAACGGAGGGGCAGGGCCTGCATCCCAGAATTGCAGGTGGGGGACCCAGCACGGTAGTATCCAAAAAACCACAGAACCTCCCACGAGAGGAGGAAGCAGTTGTAAACTTTCACCAGGCTGCGAATCCAAAACCACGTTAAGACAGTGCTCCTCCAGTGAGAACTTCCCACTCCCCTGACCACCCCACCTTGTCCAGTTGTTGGCCTTGGCAAGGTCAGACACAGGACTCAGTGAACGGGGGAGAGCTAAGCAAGAAGAAAGCACCCATTGCCCCTGAGAGCAGGTCATGAGGGGGCGAAGGGAGAAAGTTAATCCCCAAATTTAGATTGTGCAGTGATTTAATAAGTCAGTAAGATCTCTTCAAAAATGTCTGTTACCTGAAAGTGACCATAAAATAATAGGAGATTTGCATTTCCTATTCATAGTGACCATTTCCTAGTAGAAGGGAAAACTACTTCTACTCAGCAGGTCTAAGCAGAGAGTGGGAAACAAAATTAAAGTGACCGTGATGATGATGTCCCAAGTCCTACTTGTTTGATATTAATGTAGCTAGCGTGTTGTGCAAGAAAAAAATGATCAGAAGGCCGGGCGCGGTGGCTCAAGCCTGTAATCCCAGCACTTTGGGAGGCCGAGGTGGGTGGATCACGAGGTCAGGAGATCGAGACCATCCTGGCTAACACGGTGAAACCCTGTCTCTACTAAAAAAAAAAAAAAAAAAAAACTAGCCGGGCATGGTGGCAGGTGCCTGTAGTCCCAGCTACTCGGGAGGCTGAGGCAGGACAATGGCGTAAACCCGGGAGGCGGAGCTTGCAGTGAGCCGAGATCCCGCCACTGCACTCCAGCCTGGGCGACAGAGCGAGACTCTGTCTAAAAAAAAAAAAAAAAAAAGGATCAGAACTTTTAAAACGTAAAGTCTCAGCTAGTTTTTTATTTTTTTAAAGCATTCCCTAAAATGTAGAAGGAATACGAATGCCGCTTCTGGTCTTTGATCAATTTGGAGTTCCCTTTTCTCCCTCTCCTTCACTCATCACTCAACCACAAAACCAAGCCAAATCAAAACTTTTTTTTTTTTTAAGAGATAGGGTCTCGCTCTGTCACCCTGGCTGCAGTGCAGTGGTGCAATCTTGGCTCACTGCAACCTCCACCTCCCGGGTTCAAGCGATTCTCCTGCCTAAGCCTCTCATGTAGCTGGGATTACAGGCATGCGCCACTACGCCCAGCTAATTTTTGTATTTTTAGTAGAGATGGGGTTTCACCATGTTGGCCAGGCTGGTCTCGAATTCCTGACCTCAAGTGATCCACCCGCCTCAGCCTCCCAAAGTGCTGAGATTACAGGTGTAAGCCACCGCACCTGGCCCAAAACAACTTTTTCCAAACTCTGAAAGGAAAATACTTCATATCAGAACAGCCCAAAAGGCCCAAAGGTGCTAAGAGGGAGAGCGGTGTGGGCACGTCTCAGTTACCTGTATCTGAAGAAGAGAGCGTTTTGCTGACAGGGGCGCTGCGGCAGGAGATGGCCTGGACAGAGATGTCCTTCTCGATCACCTTCACCTTGATGGGAGTCTTCACCGGAGACTCTGCCAGAGGAAGATTCTGATTACAAAGGTGGCCCCATGGTTGACTGGATCAACAGTTACCGAAAAGTGAAAGGACAGCCCTCACTGCAACTCTGGTGTGTGCAGTTGGCAAAGGCAAAGTTTAATGAAAGCCGTTTTGAACGGAGGAAAGGCAAGAGTGGTGTCTGGAGTCCAGGTTGAAATAAAATTTCAGAAACATTTTAACTAAGCTAGAATTTCCCATTCTATCTGGCATCCCTGAACTGTGCCAACTCATGTATTCTGGGAGGATGATGCTTTTGCACAAGTAGAGATGCACTGTGAATTGTGAGAAATAAAGCATACACTTACACAGAAACTTCTGTCTCCAAGGCAGTGGCTGTGGAGACAGGTACAGAATTCAGCTGGATCTCAAATCATAGCCTGTCAAGCCTTCTAACAAACGATTTTTAACAGAAGAAAGTCTACAAAGCCAACTCACTTTGAATTTTTCAAGAAAAAAGTGTGTGCTGTCCCCACATACAGGTAATAGAGTTCGTGTTTTGTTGTGTTTTGTTTTGTTTTTGAGAGGGAGTTTCGCTCTTGTTGACCAGGCTGGAGTGCAATGGCGTGATCTCGGCTCATTGCAACCTCCACCTCCTGGGTTCAAGCAATTCTCCTGCCTCAGCCTCCAGAGTAGCTGTGACTACATGCATGCGCCACCACACCCAGCTAATTTTGTATTTTTAGTAGAGATGGGGTTTCACCGTGTTTGTCAGGCTGGTCTCAAACTCCTGACCTCAGGTGATCTATGCACCTCGGCCTCCCAAAGCGCTGGGATTACAGGCATGAGCCACCGCGCCCGGCCCTAAAATAGAGTTCTTAATTTAACTTAGTTGGAGTTACACCTAAGTGTAACTATTTATACTATCTGGATTTTAGCTTCAGAATACACCATGGGAATCAAACCTCGTTTCAGCTTATTGCATACGTGTTTGGCAGAAGAAAAAGATAACTGTCATCCAACAACAACAAAAAACGAAGCACAAGTGTGGCCAATCAGCACCCTTCCTGTGCTGTGAGATTTTCCTAACACTCAGTGCTAGAGGCTCCAGGACTCCGCAGTCTATGGGGGCAAGGTGGTTACAGGCAGGCGCCACGCACAGAGTTTCTCGACTGCGTTCCTGTTGTCTCACCGGAGCTCAGCGGGGACGCCCTCCCCACATCGACACGAGGCTTGGTCTTCACGGCAGTGACAGTAGTGACCACAGTCCCACAGGGCATCACCATGCGGTCCTTTTCGATTTTTGCGGCAGGAACAGGGGGAGGGATGGGCCAGGATTTCAATTCCCCAGGTTCTATGTAAGAGAACTGCAGAGAAGACGCGTTACTTGTTTCTGGTTTTGTGGAAACTGCACAGGCTGATCAGCCACGTAACGCTGCCTTCTTGTGAAACAACCATAATTCCTTCCCTTAAGGTCACTTAGCATTTCCAATTAACCTGGATATTCCCAGAATGGACACAGACCCCACTTTACACACAGCCGGCTCAACACATAATGATGGCAACAGAATAGAAGCCGGAGAACCAAGCAAAATTTTCAAAGGCCTCTTTGGGGTAGGCCTGTAAAATGGCATCCTGAAAAGTCATCTCCTCCAGCAGACAACTCAACTGTACAGTGGACAGAACATGCTCTGTTTGAGTGTAGTCCTGTGTACAATAAAAGAGCATCTCCTCTTAGAGGAGGTCTTATTTCACACAGAAGCAGGAGTGAGACTCTGCAGACATAAGTGAAGACGCTCCTTAGGTAAGTGCCCCAAGACGGAACCAGCCGCCATGGGAGCCTCGTCCTACCTCAGCCGTGACCGAGCCCAGCACCGAGCTGCCGCAGGCAGACCCGCTGGTCAGCATGAAGCTCTGTGGCCCAGAAGGCTGCTTCTTAAACAAATCCAAAGGAACTGTCGCCGTCGCCAGCAGACCTGAAAAGACAGGAGACAGGCAAGGGGTGCCGCTGATGTTTCCACGGGGTTCCGTGAGAACAGAAAGGCCCACACGCCCAGCAGCCGGAACACGCTCCTCACGTGCCTCTGGCACACTCGAAAGTGCTCACGTTTCAGAACGTTTTTAAAATGTCAGTGTCATAAAAGACAAAGGCTGTCGAAACGCTGCAGGACAGAGGATGCTAAAGCAATAGGACAGTCAGACAATGTCTGGCCCTGTGCCGGAGTGGAAAGGTCACTGCTCTGAAGGGCATCATGGGGTCGTCCAATGACAAAAACTGGAAAATGGGCATAAGTTAAGGAATTGCAGCAATGTAAATTCAGGAAGCTGATAACTGTACTGTGGACACAGAAGAGAGTATCTCCATTCCTAGGAAAATACACACTAAAGAATTGAGGACAAAGGGCCGAGAGGCATATAATTTATCCTCGTGTGTGTGTGGGGTGTGTGTGTGTGTGTGTGTGTAAAAAGGAAATGAGTATGGTGGGGAGAGAGAGACCAAGAGTAAGCACAAATAGTAAAGGAAACAGGGCAAATGTTAAGGATACGTGAGTTTGAGTAAAGGTTATGTGGCTGTTCTTTGTATTGTTTTTGTGAAGTTCGACATTTCATAGATTCCATCAGGCTGGGCTGGAATGAAATCTGAATGAGGCCAGCGGGAGTGGGGACCCAGGAATGGGGTCAGAAGTTGACTTCTCTCCAGGTGACCAGCGCCCCTACACTGTGCGGGTCCCCGACCTGCGGAATGCCTCTCTCAGAATTATCTCATGGGCATCCCAGTTTTCTTGGGACTCCAAAATCAAGGAAGTCGCCTCAGGATTCTTGCTATAACAACTAGGATATAAAACTAGTTAATTGGGAGAAATAACGACCTTCTCACTTTAGGAGGTAACCAAATGGCTTGATTTTATTGCTGGATAAGCTGGGCAAGGGCTTCCCAATTTTGGTATGTTTATGGCGAGAGTTTTACAATCTAAGAAAATATTTATATCTTTAAAAACCTAACAAATATTGTAACTACTGATTTGGAGACGCACACATACAGGCCCACGTTCATTTTAGTGTTTTAGTGACTTTACCTCTAATTGTTGCTTTCTTGTGTACAAATCGTTAAGTTCCATTTAAACCTCTGTAGTTTATTTTATAAGGAAAAACCCAATGAAATGGATACAGGCAGTAGAATGGGGATGAAAAAGCTCTGGAGATAGATGGGGGTGATGGTTGCACAACAATGTGAGTGTAGTGACTGCCCCTGAACTATGTACTTAGAAATGGTTAAGATGATACATTTTACGTTGTCTATCTTACTACAGTTACGTTGTCTATCTTACTGCAGTTACGTTGTCTATCTTACTGCAGTTACGTTGTCTATCTTACT